TGCCAAATGTCAGTGTGACGATTCGCTTTCTTCTACGTGAGCATTGAGATTTTCTGCCTTGTAATATTTTCTTTTTGAGAGGTTAACAACTGAGGGAGACGTGAAGTTGGTTCACTGCTCGGTGCCTGTAACTTAGATACTGTGTAGAAAATACTAAACAGACAGATGTGCTCGTTTTTTATCACTTGTATGTATTTGACACTTCTTATTCTCCTCCTGTAATACCTTGTGTTCTGCATTCAGGGTGGCAGTGGCCAGAGGATCCTGTCTGGCTACACAAATAAGATGCTCCAGATGATCAATGGGAAATGTGCTTTACATTTTCCTTCAAGAACAAATTGACACTACACCCCTTCTCTAAGCTGTGGGTAAGTTCACCAGAACAATAGAAACAATGATGTAATTTCATAGATTTGTTCAAAATAATATCCATCTTCAGAGATGCTCTGGGTGGGCATTTTTAGGATGCAGTGTATGGGGGACGTCTTTGTTCATGAATAAAGGTAGAAACCGGTAGGTGACGCAGATCTCACTTGAGGTGGATTCACTAGCTTCTAGTTACCTTTACAGGCTTTCTCTATAGTTGCATCATACTAAATTTTTAATATAGACCTTGTGGTGTAAGCAAAACCTCCAGAGCTGCTAATGTATTCAGTATCATTTTGTTCAAAGTAGAATTGTATTGAGACTGTACTAGTATTTGATAGTACTTTATTATCCATGTTCACTTGCTGTATTTTGGCAATATGCACAACAGTAGAACTAATCATACTTGGTATAGATGGATGCACAATATTTATGTAGTTCATTTCTCCAAACTGGCTTGTTTGTGGCCACCACTATTGTTTCATGAAAGGCAATGTATTTGAATACAGGGCACCCAAAGAGTACGTCAACTCCAGAACTTTGGAGGCACGGGGCCCAGTGACGACCTAAAGCTTTGTGGGCTCACACTCCAAACCTCCAGACAAGAATTCAGTAAGTAAATTGTTCAGACATTGTAAAATGCAACATTCATCAGTTAATATTGCTTAAATGTGGAACTTTTTTACAAGAGTGGTGCTTCACAACTGCAGAGTAGTTGAAATTATTGTTAAAGTGAATGTTCCTTGTAGGCTTGATGCTGATGAACCAGCAGAGGGATGACTGCAGCAGTAATTCAGAGGCTTTTTTTCAACATGTAGCGAGCTGACCACCTATATTTCAATTCGGTTTTTTGTTTTCCTGATATTGTCAAAATGGCCAATGTTGACTTGTAATGTACAAATGGCACTGGTAACAACCTTTGCTTTTAAACTCAGGCTTTTTTTCCCATTTCCCCCTTAGACCATCCTTAACCAGATGTCATTCTGTGGCCAGACCATCAGCAGCATTCTTGGCGACATGCATGGAGACAGGCAAGTTTTTATAAATGGATAGTTTATTGAAATCAAAGCTTTACAAAACATTTTTCTTTTTGCAGGCTCTGCCAGCTGCTGAATGTTTTGGCTAAGATGGGAAATCCCTACTGGTGGCTCATCACGGTAGAGTATAGCACTTTCTGCAGACTTCTCCAGTCATGTACTGTACCTACAAGAGGACTCTCATGACTGGAGAAGTCTTTACAACTGCGGTCCAGGCACATGCAGAAAATGTGATGTACTCTCCCTTGATGACCCACCAGTAGGGATTTTCCATCTTATGCTGAAACTTCAGCAGCATGTAAGAAAAGAAAAAAAAAGGTACTCCATGTGGGAGATTGTTTTAAGGGCCCTGTGTTCAACATTCATTCATGTTGGGGCCTTTTTTTTTTTTTTGGTGTAAAAATTTTCTTCAATAAAGTGATTGCAAGTCAACCTGTCTGGTTCTGTTTCTAAACATCTGCTCTATTAGGCACTGGGTCAGGTCTTGTAGTTCAGCACTGTAAAAGGAAAGAGGGTACTGGGTGTGGGAGAAAGTGAAATTGACAGGCTGGAAACACTTAACATTCTTCACGAGGACAGTGGAATGATTCACTCTTCATCAGGGCTGACAGCAATAAGTCTTCCCTATTCTGTCCAGGGCAGGAGTGCACAACATGTACAAGTGTGGAGTATTGTCCCCATTTAAAGCGACAGGTACTATATAGCCTGACTTTAATTCAATAAACACAAATGTAAGGCAGAAGTTGTCACTAACAAGACCGCACAATACCTGGACAAAGGTTACTGCAGAGCCCCAGATGCCTTGCTTCTGGCCATTTGAAGGATCAGAAACTCAATTCCACAAAACAAGTTTATCCACAGTGAATTTAAAATTCTACTTGCCCGCTGTGTTCCACTTGAGTGCAATGGTCAATCACTGTATGACACTACAGTTCATTCTGACCCTGTGTACAGAGTGAAAGCATTAGACGCTAATATGCACAGCTGTCCTAAAACACCATATGAAACTATAGAACAAAGGAAATGTATGCAATTACATTGTGCTCCATGTTAGTTTTGACAATTTTCATTACACTTTCAAAATTAGTGTCAAAAGAGCTGAGAAATTAGTCTGACCTGAACCTGTTAGTACTAGTAGTTCTCTCACCTGATCAACTTATGGTTAATGTCCACATGTTGGAGTGACAGGGGCCCAGAACACTGTCGGTCCTCACGACAAGCCTGAGGCTATTTATGCTGTGCAAGTTCTTGTACTCTGTGGCCTATTGAAAGAAACATGGGGGGAGTTAGTCCTACAATGGGTATAACCATTACTCTGATCACAGAAAGAAACCTGTACAAACACATTTCATTAAAATCAAACATGCAGGAAAAGTCAACAGCTCTTACTAAATGCACATTTTATACAAATCAGATTCATTAAAGGGCTATTGCATACTTTATTCAGGTTTCTCACTATATTTCTGTGCAGATTCTCAGTCATCCAGGTAAGCTGAAAAAATCAACTGGACTGGATTTCTAGGTCGAAGACGTTTCAATGTCCCCTAATGAATGCTTGATGAGGGGACATCGTTGGTCCTCAAAGGACTGAAACACCACCGAGGGGGATAAATATCTCCGGCTCAACACCACTCAGTCAGAACTGATGAGGTGAAACATCTTCGACCTAGAAATCTAGTCCAGTTGATTTTTTTCACTATATGATGCACTTTGAGGCTCAACGGAAGTTTTAATGTCAACTGTTTTCTCTAATCAATTCATATTTCTTGCACATCTGAGCCTCTCCTCCCCTACTCACCTGATCTTTCCTTCATTTTCCTAGCCTATGTTTACTAATCACATTCATGTAGTAACAGCATCAAACTCTGTTGGAAAAATCCTGTACATAAGTGCAATTGAAGCATCTGTACTTATTTTTAGTTCCTGCTTCTTCACATCCACTATTATTTAAGCAACATTTTTATTGTAGCACTCTTACCTGTAACGGCATCTCAGTAAACGCCGAGCGGGTTGAACCTCACCGGGTCTTCATCAGGGCGGAAACATACAGGTGCAAACGATTTGTGCTGATGAAGACCCGGTGAGTGCCGAACCGGCCGGCGACCATTAATAGTAAATATAGAAGACATTTACATTAATGGGGCATGTAAAACTAGAGGAGTTCTGTCATCTACAAGACCACACATCCAACAGGGAACAAGTTACAAGTCAACTCTAAGAGATGTCCTCCTAGATTGAGCAGGTTTCACAATTAGCTTGACAATTGACAGGCTCGAGCAAAGCAAAAGAGTACTGGACGGCTAAAGTTACCCTACTGCGCGCTACCTACATACAGAACGCAACACATGAAATGGTTACTGTGATTTTCTACAATTTTCTAACGCGACCCACCTGAGTAGCAGAACACCTCCGCTGTCGTTCATCTTGAACTTCCGTTAGAACCAAACTTACAGAAGCGCCACCAGAGACTAATTTAAAGAACCCAGCTTCTTCTCATGATGTTTATTGGCGGGTTGCAGGTCTACTTAAGGTGCATTACCGCCACCTGCTGGGCTGGAGTGTGGAACCATAATAGAGACGAAGGAATAAAAAACAAAAAGCTTCTTAGAACTGCATAAACTACTAGATCCTATCCAAAATACCCATATCTGCCAAATAACTAATAACAGTTTTATATGCTGTCTTACAGTTGCTGCCTAAAAGACTCTAGTGATATATTAGTCTGCCTTTTTTCCATTAACACTATCATGAAATCATGAAAAACATGCTCTACAGTCTCTACCTGACTGGACAAAGGCCTGTAGGGTGTTTACCTATTTTGTGCAGGGTATAATTTTAACTTGTGTGACTTATTCTCAAGCGAGTTACTACACTTTCCTCTTTTCTAGTACCAGTCCATGCCTGTTGGTATCCAACCACTTTTTGGACCATGTACAAATGTCTACCAGTTTCACACCCATCCCACTGTTCTTGCCAAACTTTTTGAATATGAATATTAATAAGGGATTTCATTTCAAATCTAGAAATTGGGAGAATCCAGCTATCACCTGATTGGACAATTTGACTCTGCTCTGTGATTGGACTGTCACTGTCAAATCAAATTCAGGTTTGATTCACACTAAACTTCAGTACTCCTTAATATTTGCAATTACTTTGTACACAGATGTTCACAAATACTTGTTTTCTGACCTGAAACCAGTAAAAGTTCTAA